TCCACTTCAATGTCGCCCAATCCTCCACCCCCAAGGATTGCACGCGACGACTCTCCCCCCACCCTCATCCCCCCCCTGTCCGCTTCCGCCGCTGCCTCCACGGTCGCGGAGCGTCCTATAGGAAGGGCAAATCCGTGGCGACGCCCCCTTCTTCCCGCGCTTTCCCCGAACTGCGCGTCCCTTCCGCCGAGGAGAAGCGCGCGCGCGACCAGCGGGCGCCAATCGCGACCGCCCATTTCGCCATTACGCCATCCCATGGGGCAATCCGCGCCGTCCCGCGGCGGCCATCCTAGCAAGCAGGTCGTGCCCCTTCCCCGGTGACTGGGTCCAGCGCGCAAGACATTGCCGCTAACTGCATTGGTAATGGCACTGACAACGTCACCTCTGCTGCTAAAACTCCCGCCCGCAGTAGCCGCACTAGACGGAGCAACCAGACCGCCATGACTCAATCTGGATGATGACGCGGCACAGCCGAGAAGAGGCCGCGGGAATGCGGAGAGCGATTCCATTTGCGCCTCTGCGCGGATTGGTGACAACACTTGGGCTTTCTTGATAAGCTGATTCGGTATTCGCCAATGCGCAGTGTGCTACATCCAACTGGCCTATTTTTGGCCTTATTATACCCAAACGGTGTTATCACAGACTATCGCATGAAGGTCGAGGCTGAACTGAAGTGGCAGTCAAGCAGAGGTCGCGAACAGGCGAACCAGGCTGCATAGTTGACGAAAGACCGTCAACCATACAGTAACCCTGGTAAGGACCAATGCACGAATCTATCTATAGCGCGGATTACCACAACTGCTGGTGGTTGTCAGAGCCAAGGACGTGAGGTTCCAGCGTTCATGGTTCAGGAGCTGCCGACTGCTAGGGAGTGCTTATTCAGAGATTTCTCTATTACGTTAGCATTTTTTCCCGCAAATGGTGCTGTGCGAAGGACAGATTCTGCCGAGGTGTACTGTACGATGAACTCAATCCACGTCATGGCGGGAGGCCATGGTTGGCTAGCAGCTGACTAAAAGAAGAAACTAGCGTGCATTACAAGCAAGCTCGTGGTAAAAATCTTGCTGAGGGAGCTTCTTGGTGAAGATACGAATTCTGAGGTTTGATAGAGGTAAGGTGGAATTGGGTTGGAAAATTTTGGGGGGAGAATCCTGGCGAGCTATTCGTTGGGTGAAATTCAGGGGTATGTGCCCTCGAGTCGAGAATGCCGAGCAATGATGACGTGGCGGAAGCTAGCAGCGTCAGACGATGCGGGGGCTGACACGTGACACAATTTCGTACCGACTTAATCAGCTTCGCTACACGCTGTTTTCAGTACGTCAACATGATGAACGAACTTAATGGGAAATACAATCAACTTACCCCTCCACTTAGCATGGGGAGGGGAACCTGACCTGAGCGTTCCATGATACGGTAATGGGTTTTATGTGGGAAGGCTACCTGGCAACTGCACCCAAATCCCTTGGCAGTGTGAAATCTTAGCCTACCAGTACCAGTAATGAACAAGCAATTACACAAACCTAAAGACTAGGTAACAATCACTACACCTATCTTACATGATCAGGAGAACAAAAACAAGAGGCGACGAAATCGTCTTAGGGTTGCGAAGCAACATTACACTGTTATTTTTAGATACATCTGATCTATTGTGAGAATTATATAATATCGTAACATGACTTTGATATTTGCTGAATCATTGCTATTCATAGATATGTGTTTCATATAATATGGGAGTATACAAATGAAAGGGTGTACATAACAGATGGGTGTGGTTGTTTAGGGTAAGTTATTCTTGTTGTGTTCATATGATCTGGTTTTAGGGTGACTGAAAATCTGAAACAAAAAAAACTACAGAAAGGAAAAGCTTTATTTAACCAAATCTTTGACCATGACTAGATTCAAACTCCCGACTTATGCGATCACGACGACGTCGACAGAGCTGTGCTATACAGTCCATGTTTGAAGAAGCGTAAAATTATATTGACCTTATTTGCAATAAAAACGTCTCATTCTAGGGTTTCGTCAAATGTCCTTTTCCTCCGTTTCTCTTCCACCTAGTCAGACTACTCTAGCTTCTCCCCGTCCCTCACGCCACTCACGCCACTCACGCCACTCACACCACTCAGACTATAACTCCTAGTTAAGGTAAGCCTCATTCTCTCTATTCTTAAGTTCATTCTAGTTGAGAGTGGGTTCTAGTTTAGCTCATTTGGTTGAGAGTTGTTTTTTTTTAAACGAGATCTAGACGTATTTTGTTTCTTAACCTCGCTTTCTTCCTAGGTTATGCACCGTACTTTTGTTCTCTCCTTCCCTCTCCTTCTCTCCACTTCTTCCCATCTTCTTCTCTCCTTTATTTCGATTTACATTCTACTTGCTTGCTCTTTTCAGCTCTTGCTCTTACTTTTGTCTTCTTCCGTACGCTGTTTCTTGATTTATTCCTCTTCCTTAATTGAAATTTGATATGATTATTAACAATTATGTTCAGAGTTAAATTATTAGGTTGGAGCATTCTCTTTCTCGTTCTCTTTCTCGTTCTCTCGTTGTCTAGTTCTTTCTCGTTCTCTCGTTCGTTCTCCCTCGTTCTTTCTCTCCCGTTTTCTCTCTCTCTCTCTCTCTCTCTCTCTCTCTCTCTCTCTCTCTCTCTCTCTCTCTCTCTCTCTCTCTCTCTCTCTCTCTCTCTCTCTCTCTCTCTCTCGCGTTCTCTCTCTCTCTTCTCTTGTTCTCCCTTTCTCTCGTTCTCTCGTTCTCCCTCGTTTTCTCGTTCTCTCTCTCTTCTCTCTCTCTCTCTCTCTCTCTCTCTCTCTCTCTCTCTCTCTCTCTCTCTCTCTCTCTCTCTCTCTCTCTCTCTCTCTCTCTCTCTCTCTCTCGTTATTTCACTCTCGTACTCTCGCTCTCGCTCTCGATCGTTCACCCTCGTTCTCTCTCGCTCGTTCCCTCTCTCGTTCTCTCCCTCTGGTTTCTCGTTTTCTCTCTATCGTTCTCTCTCTCTCGTTCTCTCTAGTTTTCTTTCTCTCTCGATCTCTCTCTCTCTATCGTTCCCCTCTCTCGTCCTCTCTCTCTCGATCTCTCTCTCGTTCTCTCTCTCTCTCTCTCTCTCTCTCTCTCTCTCTCTCTCTCTCTCTCTCTCTCTCTCTCTCTCTCCCTCTCTCTCTCTCTCTCTCTCTCTCGTTCCCTCTCTCTCGTTCTCTCTCATTCTCTCTCTCTCTCTCTCTCTCTCTCTCTCTCTCTCTCTCTCTCTCTCTCTCTCTCTCTCTCTCTCTCTCTCTCTCTCTCTCTCTCGTTCCGTCTCTCTCTCTCTCGTTCCGTCTCTCTCGTTCTCTCGTTCTCTTTTGTCAAATCTCTCGTTCGTTCTCTCTCGTTCGTCCACTCTCTCGTTCTCGCTCTCTTGTTCTCTCTCTCTCGTCCTCTCTCTCTCTCTCTCTCTCTCTCTCTCTCTCTCTCTCTCTCGCTCGCTCTCGCTCTCGGTCTCCGTTGTTCTCGCTCAACGTATTTGTTATATTCTTTTCGTTCGTTTACTGTCTCGTTATGTGTTTTTCCCTTTGTTCTCGTTCTTTACTTTCGTTTTATGCCTTAGTACATTTTCTCCTTGTTATTTGTCAGCTCTAAGGGCATGTTCCTACGACCCCTTATCAGGCCAACCTCTTATCAAGCTCGCGTCAAAACACACTGAAAATTTCATAAACCTAAAAACCCTCGCTACTTTTACCAGGCAAGGCTGACAAGAGGTTTGCCTGATAAGAGCGTAGGAACATGCCCTAACCCTTCAATGCTCATGGCGTTTTTCTTGGCCCTTGTATTGTTTCATTTGTTTCTTCATTATTCATTTTTCTCGTGATTTCATTATGCCTTGTTATTTCCCATTTGCCTTCCCTTCCTCAACCCAGTTTTGTCTTACTTTCCAGGCAGTCGAGCTCAATATGAGAAGTAGACTGATATTGCTTGTGACTTACAGTATAGGATACATAATGTCTTGGTGATTTAGGTTTCTATTTCATCTGCGGTTAATATGCTTTGTTAGTTGGCTTCGTGTGTGCGTGTATGTGTGAATGTGTATGATCATGTGTATGCGTTGTATTGTGTGCGTATGCGTTTTTATTTATGTTTCTATTGCATTAATAACACATGTCTGTGGGGCTTAAAAATTGGGATCAAACTGTCATTTCCGAGAAGGTTCTTTGCGCATTCAGTGAGTGTGTCCATTCGAACTGGATTTGATGGAATCGACCCGTTTTTTAGATCACATAGATTGTGTTGTTTCATGTAACAGTTGGATGATTCAGAAATTATGCTATTAAGCTCCCCCCCATGCTAGGCAGGGGATGCGATAGCATAGGGTCTGCGTTAATTAACTGTTACGCACTTCCATCATGCTGTGTATTTATTTCATTACCGGTAGTATATGCATTATACTCATGCATTTGCATTTACTTCATTCATCTACTTATAACATCAGACATATGCATTACGGAATAAACAGTTACGCGTTCACAGTTCATCATTTGGGCAACTCATGAAATATAGGTTCAGTCAAAGTAAACTAGGAAATGAGAAGGAATGTGGTTCAGCACATGGTAAATTGACGCGGCAGATACATAGCAGTCAGTCACTTAGCTAGTACGGTACCGTTCACTTTATTTTTTCCATCCTTTATTTTTTAAAATATTGAGGATTGGAAAAAAAAATGTACATAACAATCGTAATAGGTTGCTTCGCAACCCAAAAAGAATCACAAGACGCTGTTGCTGACGGGAGGCAGTATCAAATCGTGTTGTAGCCTCAAGAGGTACCGGTACATGGCTTTCAAGAAATCCATAAATTTACTGCAACCTCTGCTAGCCGTCACTGGCTGTGCCACAGCAGCTTGAGCGTGTTGTAGGGTGTGAGGTGCTTGTGGGGGAGGGAGGAGATGGCCGGTGAGATGCGGAGGAAGCAAGCTGTCAGCTCTCAATGCTGCTGCACCTGTACATGAATGCAGCAATGTAATTCACTGCCTGCGGCCGCTAGTGGCCCTGGAGCAGCAGCAGCTTGAGCGTGTGGTTGGGCGTGAGGTGCTTGTGGGGGAGCGCCTGGCCGGTGCGCGGCGAGACAGAGTTGGAGAGCAGCCAGCGCTCGATGCTGCTGCGCTCGTATGTGAATCCGTCCGCTGCCACCACGGGGTCTGTCATGCGCTTCTGTGGGGGGGGTGAGAGGAGAAGGGGGGGATTGGGTGCATGGGCATGGGGGGAGAATTTGAGGTTGACTCAGGAGCAACGGAGTTGGAGAGAAGCCAGCGCTCGATGCTGCTGCGCTCGTACGTAAACCCGTCCGCTGCCACCACTGGGTCTGTCATGCGCTTCTTCTGCAGGGGACGAGGTGGGAGGAGAGGAAAGGGAAGGCAAATGAGGTAAGCGGATTGGGGATCTTAGGTGAAGTTGTCTGCTGCCACCATGGGGTCTGTCAGGTGCTTCTGGACGTTGGGAGAATTGGGTGGCAGGTGAGGGAACGAGAGGAGCGCATGACAAGGCTGGTTCTGAGACACTTCAGGATCAGCCACCCCACCACCAGCTTTGACATGGGTTTGTTGAAGGGACAACACTCACATGCGACAACTCATGAGAAAAGGAGAATGACCTGCACGCACCTGCGACAGCGGGCACATGCACTGCTCGTCGAAGCTCCTCCTCCTCTTCCCCATCTCCACCTCCGCCTCCTCCATCACCTCTCCCATCGCCGGCTGTACCACCTCCACCAGGTTCGGCCGAGCCTCCCGCTGCCGAACCGCACACCAGAGCGCCAGCTCCGTCAGCTTCCGAGCCACTGGCAGGGGCCATTGCCCCCCCGAAACATCAACCTCCCTCACTATCTCCTCAACAGTCCGAGCCAGCACCCTCGTACTATCCATCTCTACCGGTTGAAACCCACCACCACGCATGCCCACTCCTCCCAACCCTACCCCACCCATGCTCTTCCCTATCCACTCCTGTATCCTCCCCAGCCTCCGATGCAACTCCTTCACATTCGGCTCTCCTAGCAGCAGCTGCAGCGCTATCAGCCCAAACGCGTATACATCCGAAAGAACCGAAATCTCACAAGTCTCAAGCTCCTCCGGGTCTATATACCCCACTGTGCCTCTCACACGCGCGGTTACATTTTCCACGTCACTGAGTAACCGCGCGAGGCCCACGTCGGCGACCTTAGAGGCGAGGCTTGTATCGAGGAGAATGTTGTCAGGCTTTAAGTCCCGGTGCGCTATGGGCGGGTCGTTCTGGTGAAGGTACATCAGCGCACCAGCCACCTCGGATAAGATTCTCACCCGGTCAAACCAAGTCAACGGCTTTCTCCCACCCCGACCGCTCCCCCCTCCCCCACTGCCACCACCCACACCACCCGCACCAACCACACCACCCGCACCAACCGCACCACCCGCACCAACCGCACCACCCGCACCAACCGCACCACCCGCACCAACCACACCACCCACACCACCCGCACCACCCACACCACCACCCTTGCTGTTCCCAGCAGCAATCACATCAAGAAAATCCTGTAAGCTCCCTCCAGGCAGGTACTCATACACAAGGCTCATCTCATCAGGGCAGTGACCCATGAGCAGCACTATATGCGGGTGCCGCATCCTAGACAACACCTCCACCTCCATTCTATACTCCGCACTGCCCTGCCACCCGCCGCCTTCCAGCCGTTTGACTGCCACCATGCAGCCTAAGAGACGTCCTTTGTACACCGTGCCGAATGAGCCTCGGCCGAGCCTGTTTTCTGCTGCCCAGTTGTTGGTGGCTCGGGTGAGCTGGTCCGGGGAGAACTGGCGGCATTCCACTGCGGTCCCTGCTGTGGGGAGAGGTGAAAGGCCTTCTGCTGTGGGGAGAGCAGAAGGGCTTCCCTGTCCTGCCTCGCCTCCCTGTGCGCCTGTCACGGTCCCACTGCTGTTGGTGCCTCTGCCCTGCGAATTGCCCTGCAAAACGGACCCAAAACCACCGCTGTTGCCCTTTCTGCCACTGATGTTCACGCTGCTGCCGCTACCCCCGCTGCTGCTGCTGCCGCTGCCGTCCTTGTCGCCGCTGCTGCTGCTGCGCCATCTGCTGCCAGGGTTCCCTGCAGCGGAAATGCTTTCAGCAGCAGCAGCAGCAGCAGCAGCAGCAGCAGCAGTAGAGGCAGTGGCAGGAGTAACAGCAGCAGCAGCGGGTGCAGAAGTGACAGCAGCAGCAGCAGCAGCTGCACCTGCTACCACACGAGGTCTGATGACCGCCTCTTCCTCCTCGTCGCTCTCATCATAAGCTGCTAGCTCGTCTTTCAACGACATGAGCGATCCACTGCCTACCCCAACCGCTCTCACGCGCCCTGCAGCTGTTCCCGTTGCTCCTGCTGCTGCTGTTGCTCCTGCTGCTATAGCTGCGTCTGCTGCTGCTGTTGCTGCGCCTGCTGCTGCTGCTGCTGCTGCGGCTACCCTGGCTGAAGCCAAGGGGGAAAGGGACGAGTTACGTGGCACCTTCTCCTCCACCCCTCCACCCACACCCTGCAAGCCACCACTTCGGGTGACGATGAGAGGTGGTCCATAATCCGCCCCGCTCCTTCCTCTGCCTGTACCCGCCGCTTCACCCGCTGCTTGCAAGCGCCCTGTTCTCTCTGCTGGATCCGTTTCATGCCTCTGCAAAACCGCTCTGCCTGTAGGAATGAACTCATTCACCGCTTTCCCCTCGTACGCCGCTTTCCCGCCCACTCTCCGGCTCACGGGCGCGATATCATACACACCCCTCTCCTGCGAGCCCTCCGTCCTGCCTGTGGGAACCGGTGCGTAGTCCGTGATGCTGTCTCTCGTATTGTTCCTCCGGACTGTGCCGCCCAGCCCGCCTGGCTCCCCTCCCCTGCTTTTGCTCGCCTCAGCCCCTCTCTCGTACACTTGAAAGCCCTCGGCTCTGCCAACAGGAAAAGGTTCATAGTCCGTGATGCTGTCTCTCGTTCTGCTCCTCTGGACTATGCCGGCCCGCCCGCTCGCCTCCCCTCCCCTGCTCCTGCTCGCCTCACTCCCTCTCTCATGCAGAATCGCGCTGCTGCTGCCGAACCTCCCGTCGCCGAACCCCCCGTCGCCGAACCTCCCGTCGCCGGACCTCCCATCGCCGTGCCTCCCGCTCTGGGAATTGCCGTCAGCAGCAGGAGAATCCCAGGGCCCTTTCCCGGCTGATGAGGGTCTGCCGCTGTCAAACGAGCGTCTACCAATGACCTTCATTTTCTGCTCCGATCTTCCCAAAGCCACTTTCGCTTCTTTCGCCTGTTTAGATTCTTTCGCTTCTTTTGATTCTTTCTTCTGCTGCTCGGCCTGAATCTGCAACCAGTCTTGTGATTCGTGAGAGGAGCTGAAGTGGATTCCCTGGGAGCTGAAGTGCGGATAGAGGTTCCGAAGCTGGTCCGGTTTGGATCCCAGGTTGTTGACCCATGATGCTGATTGGCCGCGCGGTTCTGTTACTGCTGCTGCTGACGTGTCATTGCCTGCCCACAATCGGCGCGCTGCTGAGCCGATGGGTGGAGCCGGCGCCAGGTCAGATGTCGCGGGTCGTGATTGGTTGGTGGATGAAATGTCCAAGGAGCGACGCGGGTCAGATTGATGCTGTGGTTATAAGAACGCGAGGGACGGAGAGGGACGAATGAGAGGGAGAAAGGAGAGAGACGAATGAAGGAAAGAGGGAGTCTTATGAGGCGCCTCAAAAACTAGTGAGGTTGGATTGATGCTGTGGTTATAGGAGCGCGAGGGAGGGAATTTCGAGAACCTCAAGAAGAGCGACGACAAAAGAAGCCAGATTAATGATGCGGTTATAAGAACGCGAAGGAGGGAGAGGGACGAATTAGAGGGCGAGGGGAGAGACGAGCCTGAGGAAGAGGGGGAGGGAGGGGAGACAGAAATACGTGAGGGATCAGGAATAATATAGCACGCCTGGGGATGTGGAAGGGTGTCCGGGAGAGAAACGAGACGGGGGAGATGGAGCAGGCGAAGAAGCGAGAGGGAGAGCCATGGAACAGAAGCTTTAAGACTGACGGTGAGATGACGGCGTGAGAGAGGGAAAGCGATGGTGAGAGGGCAGGAGGAGAGAGAGAGGGAGATGAGATGGCGCGTCAGGTAAAGAAAGCGACGGTGGATGCATGCGCAGCGGGAGAAAGATGTGGAGTGCGACAATGATAAAGTGAGTGCGGCGCGTCTCGCTTGCTTCGTTCCGACTTCTTTTGTTCTCGATACTGACCCATATTGCAATCAACTGTATCGGGTCACGTCTTTCGATAAAACAATTTGTCTCAGCCTGATATTTCATCAGATACGGACCAACTACCAAATCACAAGACCAAAAAAAAAGAAACGTCGGCTTACCGAGGGTGAATCTCGTGCGGACGGAAATAGCTGCGAATCGTCGAAGGCGTCACCGCGCTTCCGAATAACCACCGGCTTTCCCGCCGAGTGATGCGCATCACCGCCTTTTGGACGCGAAACACCACCACTTGTGCTGCTACTACTTTTTATCGGCGACAAAGCGCTGTTCGGTGACACCTGGCTTTCCGACGAACCTCCGCCAATTCCGGCCGTCATTTGCAGCCCTGAACGTCTCCCTCCTACATGCGACGCAGCTGGATTCGACGAGTTCGCGATGGGGACGACGCGAGACTCATCTTCTAGCGAGCCTGTTCTTAAATGGGTGAACTCCCGCGGGCCCTCCGGTGACAGCAGGCGTTTGTCGTGTCCTAAACCCTCCGCGCTTCGCCATGGGACAGGCGACACAGAGGACATCATTGGCTTATATATCGGGTATCCCTCAGGGAAGCAACAGAAGCTAAATGGGACTTCACTACGGGTTCTACGATGGACTGGGGTTGGGAAGGATGCGGAAAGGAAAGCTACAACAATGACTGGCAATGAACAAATGAAAGAATGGCTGCTGGAGTTCGAGCGTGGAGTGGAGTGGGATGGGATGACGGGAGGAAGCATGTGTAGAAGCTGCTTGCATCATGACACATTGCTGGCACCTCGAGATGAGAGATGAGATGAGATGAGACCAGCCACCTTCTGCTTCACTGTCCCGTCTAGCATTCCACAAATCAGCAACTAAGGCTCACCCACCCAGAAATTTTCCCCAAAAAAAATGGAAGGAAGGTGAAACATGGAGGGGAACCGTTGGGGCTGGAGAAAAACATCCCTGCCTCTAAAATCCGGTGGGTATTGTCCTTTTGGTTCGGCTTCGTTGGGTTTTTCCGTTGCACTCCCCACCGCCATTCCTTGGAGCCATGTTACGGTTTTTTACATTTGGCATTTTGCCTGGTTCCTGCTGGCGCTGCAGCGGTGGTTATGGCTCCAGCCAAATCCACGTCAACTTCAGATGTTTTGGCTGGGCCCCTTGGAAAACCATGATCCTTGTCATCCAAATTTTGGCCGGGCACCTAATGGAAACCATGATTCTCATGGGAAACAATCTGTTCCGTGATCCTATAAAGTGCGGTCCGTCGCTACAGAACAAAAGGACTGGAAAGTACTGGAGCCTAGGGGAATCTGACGATCTGAAATCGGGACGAATATCGGGACCTTCTCTCTCCCGAAACAAGTCAGGACTTTGGGGTGTATTCCAGAATCTCGCCGTGGCATACCTTCTACAAGGGGAACTGAGTGTCCCCATCGCTTAGGTGGCCCCTAAGCGACTTCCTATCTGTAGCCCTCCTTGTCTCTGGTACTTGACGGTAGGGTACTGTAATTAATGAACAATATTTCCGCTTGAAACCTGTATATTATTGTTCGTAATAGCCCTTATGTTCTCACGTAAACTGTACATGCTAGAATATTTGGGCTGTACTCCAGCAGCAAAAAAACTGCAAGTTGGCAACAACACTTTTTGTTGCCAAGCGGGTCGGTTCAGGCCAGCATTGAGTTCCTCGGTGTTTGGGAGGAAGGGTCATTTTCGTGTAGTTGTCTTCGAGCGATTCTTTCTAGAGAGGAATGTTATAAGCTGTGAAAGAGAAGGGCAAAATTGTTCCCCATAGTGGTGGGTTTAGGGTTGTGCAAACCTTCAAACGAACCCTCGACAAAAAAAGGTACATCCCGGCCTAAGGACGTTGTGCACACCACCTGAGATCGCATCGATCGAAGGCGATCCATGATTTCTTGGAAGGATGTCTAGTCGATGCGATTAGGGGCAATTTGCCTATTGCGATCAATAACTTGATCTGATTTGATTCATTTACTTGATCCAGCGCAATCGATTGTGATCAGTAGATCTGGTTGGATCGTGTCTCCTTTGAAATACCGGCAATAAAGAATTACCCCAACCAAACTTTGCTTGGGCTCGCCCCTTATGTAAATGAATGAAGCCCGAGGTCAGCATGGCAAAGTGGTTTTTGTATTTTGGGCTTAAAAACATTATTTGGCAGAGCAGCCAGAATTGTATTTATTGAGACTACCCTGGCGAAGCTGTCAGCAGAACAAACGAGAATGGTGAAACTAATAGCATGCAGGAGTACAAGTAGTAGGTACATTCCGTACAGGACATGTCACAAAGGTATTTGTGACTAATTGTGATACGCCGAAAATCATCAACAAGAGTATCCAACCACTCCTGATAAGACATCTGGCTAAATCGCGACTGTTTATGGTTTGAAGTTTCACAATTAGTCACGATTATGATATGAATGTATCACAATAAGCCACGAACATTGTTTTCGGAGTATCACAATTAATCACGAACATTGATTTCGGCGAGTCACAATTAGTAACAAATACGTTTGTGACACTTTCTTTTGTGACATGTCTTAGCGAAATGTACCCTAAAGCCTGATAGGGCTGTACCCTATATGGGCTACCCCACTACAGCCTACACAACATGATAGTTTGACACACCCCCATAGGCAAAATGGGGGAGAACAAGGGGTCACAAGACCAGTCAAGAAAAGCAAAGCAAGCTCAAGGTGGATCACGAAGTCACCACAGACTCTGAGCACAAGCAAATGGCCACAAGGCTAGTTCACATGCAGAGTTATATAATAGAGATCAAGTAGTACAGTGATAAAAACATAGCAGGTGCAAGCATGCAGATATCTATGTATAGATTTCACTATAAGCAAAGTCAAGAAGTGAACAAGTGAGACCAAGTAGGCACAAGGCCTAGAACAGTACAGAAACGCTGATGATCACAAAGCTGAAGTGCCTTGGTGAAGATATCAGCAGTGTTGGCCCGAGAGGCCACGTAAGCAAGACGAAGCTGACCATGCTGCTGCAACTCTCGAGCAAGGAAGTAACGCAAAGCGATGTGCTTCGTCCTGTGATCTAGTTTGTGCTCCTGACACAAGGCAATCATGGCCTTATTATCGACGTACAGAACTGGAGGAGAACGAGGCCGCTCTCCTAAGTCGGTCAGCAGGTAGTTGAGCCAGCGTAACTCCTGTGCAGCCATGGCCCCTTCGTAGATCTTAGCCTCACAACTGGAGCTGACAACAAAAGACGAGCGGGTAGACCGCCAAGAGACATAGCCGGAGCCAAGGCTGAAAGTGTAACCCTGTGACGATCGCTGCGTAGCCAAGAAGCGTATGCGTGTCCAGTGAGGACAACTGGACCTCGTCCTCCAAGCACAAGCCCCATGCCCGACGTACTGCCCTCTTAGCGGCCTTCCAGTGCTGTGGTCGGTGTCTCCCGGGCGTAACGTAGAGTGTCATAATGCTAAAGGGTAGGCAAGGTCAGGTCGAGTGCAGGTCATCAGGTACATGAGGCAGCCCCCAAGTTCTGGATACGGGTCACTCGGCTCTACGGACTCGTCCGAAGGTGGAGCTGAGAGCGAGTGACCGATAGGCAGAGGAGTGGACTGTGGCGAGGAACACTCGAAGCGAAAGCGCTGAAGGACCTGCATCACCATGTGTGACTGACTCAAGGTAATGGTGCGCCGTGCTCTGTCCCGGGTGATCTGCAAGCCAAGATAGCTGCGCAACTCATCCAGGTCTGTGCACGTGTGTCTCTCCTGCATCTCCGACTTCACTAGGGCCATTCCCTCAGTGTCAGCAATGGCAAAGACCAAGTCATCGACGCATACGAGGATGTAGAACGGCGGCAGCGAAGTGATAGTGTGTAGAAACAGCGACGGGTTAGCAGTGGAAGGAGCAAACCCAAGAGCCGAAAGTGTCGTTCTCAGTGTGTCGCGCCACTCGCGAGGTGCTTGGCGAAGACCGTAGACTGGCCACCAGAGGCTCCACTGGGTTATCAGAATCCCA